TTTTTTTTTCTTCGAAAACTGTTTGGGCAGGAGACATTTAGAGCGTAGATGGCCAGCGCTATGTTTTACTCCAAAACGGGGGTTGTTCGTGTACATCCGGTTACTTACCTGCTTCTTTGAATGCGTGCATCAACACCCATGCGGTGACGCTCGTCAACTCACTGGGCTTGCACACAACTGTATTTCCTGTTGCGAGGGCTGGTGCTAATTTAAAAGACAGCTGAAAATCGAAGTTTTTACATTAGTCGTCGTGTACCCGATCGTGTACCCCATCTGTTCAAACCAACCAGATACAGTGGGAGATTCCATGGACTAATGAGTCCGGCTACTCCTATAGGATCGTTTCTGACGTAATTCACAGCTCGAACTGGCTCGTCAATTACGGTAGACCTGCAAGAATAGTTGCATAGATTTTTTTTCCTCAGCTGCTTCTTCGATTAAACATTTACGGAGAAGTGTGATGCAGGATAGCTGTTGCAAAAAACCTGAAGTTGTGAATACAGCGTGGAATGTCAATCGCCCTGTAACTGTAAGTTTTAGATCAAAAACGTGAATCGCGTTATATACCTGGCTAAATTCACTGGCTTCCCCTGATCCCTGGATTCCAGAGTTGCGAAGCCATCCGCATTCTCCTCTATGATGTCGGCAAGTTTCAGTAGAAGATTCGAACGGTACTGAACGCTTGTTGTAGACCATCTAAATGAAGTGCTCACAATCACCCTTCCAAAACAATGTCCGATAGTTTTGACATAGCTTTATTTTTCTACTTCGACACCAGAATCAAGTGTTATTCAAGGCCCTGCAAGAGATGACACCACCTCAGGCTCTCCAGGTGGCTCAAGAGCCACCTAACTCAAAAAATTTTCACGCCTTCGGTTCGCGTAAGTTTTTTATAGTTTTTCATACAACTCCCCATTAGGCGTCTAGGGTAAGTATTTTAAGGGGAAGAGCTGCAACATCTATTGAGTTGATCTGCGTGAACCTGACCAAATCCTCAAAGTTTTTTTT